TTTTCTGCTCTTCATTAAACTTATCTGCTTTGTGTTTGTCTGTGTTTGTGAGCTGGCTTTTTTTTATCACTGTAAGAGTAGCAGCTTGCCTTTTTTAAATTAGGAGACAATAACGTCATTGAGCAACGTTCTCACCTGCAAATGCAGCTTAAAAAATTGACTTTGTCAAGGCTCTTAATCAAAACATCTTTCCACCCCTTATTCTGGTCTGTCCGAAGTGAGAGCTCAGCTCATGCAACGTTTGTCTCTTCCTGCACTGTAACTGTTTGCACTCCTTTTCTCTTTACCTCCTCTTCATCCCTTTTTCCCTCACCACACCTCTGTCCCACACATGACTATTGTTCCTTCTACAGAATCACAATCACTGACAAATGAGGAGTCTCTGGTATGTTGGGTACTCTCCGGCATCTTCATCATCATCATCATCCCTCTTTCTCTTCCTCTCAGGAGGCATCTTTTCACTGCATGCCATTTTCTTTTTCTCACTTTTAATTTTCTCTTCTCAGAGTGCTGCATGGGCAAACACACACTCAGTTCGGAGCTGTGGGTGTGTGTGTTTGCTTCAGTGTTTGGGCTGACTTTGGATGCGATGCTAGTTCATTTATTAGGTGGTGCCGGTTGTGTTATTGTGTTATATGTGACATATCTTAGATTACAGCATCAATGAGTGAGACAGGACTCGACTTTCCAAAACCCGAAATGAATTGTTGTTCTTGTGTTGGTGTTGTATGTGAGGTAGTATGCCATGATATTCAATTGTGTCTCCAGGTGTCTAATATTTTTGTTTAAAGTCATGGCATCTGTCAATCTCCACGTTCAATATTTTTTTATAATTTAGCGTTAGGCAAGGTATGACCCCTCAAATTTAATTTGAGTTATTTTCTTAGAGTTTGTTAAGTGTATCAAGGGTTTTTGCTCTCTTGTAGCAACACCATATGATTATTATAAGGATTACAACAACAGAGTTTAGTAACAAGAGGTCTGTTTAAGTGCATGTATTTAGACAACACTATAATAATGCCTGCATTTGGCATCTACTGCAAACATACATTACCTGCAATTCAGTCATGTACCTGATATCTCTGTGATGTTGGTTATGTTTTGGGGGTTTCTTCCATGTGTTATCTCATGATATAAGTGACTGTTTGAGTGAAGGTTATTGTATTTGTGTGCATGAGTAACACATGGGGGCCTTTAAATAACAATAAGTATGTATAAACTATAATTCAGAGTTTAAAACGAAGACTGCAAACACCTAGAGAACATTAATCCAACTTGTTCCCGTCCTGTCTTCTTTGTGTCTGTTCCTGTGCGTTTGTGTGTCCATGGCAGTCGGAGACCCCCCCCTTCTCCAACCCACTAGACCTCTGAGCTCCTCCCTCTCCCCGCCCGTCCTCTGTCCCACCTCTGGATGAGAAGCCGTGGACAGCAGCGCCACCTTCCTGTCGTTTTCCTTCCACACCCAACCTGAGCCGGCTCCCTTCTCCTGCTCTCTTTCCTGCAAACACACACATGCACGCAAACAAACACACACACCTTCTGTCTCACACAGAGTTGCAGAATACTTGAAACACACTTGCATGACTGACATACAACCATGCTGCACCCTCAGAATTTAAACAATGTAAAGAATATACAATAATTTATACATTGTACAGTGTATGCACATGTGCATGCACACTGCCTATATAAATACCCCAAAATATACAGTATATATTTACATCCTGCTATTAAACCTAAGGTGGAAGACATTTGAGAATTAGCATGCCTGAGTATTACATTATACTCCAGCCTTTCTGATGGGTAACCTGGCTGCTGACTGACTTCATTTTTCCTCTTTAAACATTTGTCTTATTTTGTGTTTTTTTCCCTGACTTCTTCGCCAAAAATCTTTGCGCGACTAACTCACCTTATATTGCGGTCATGCTTGATAAAAAAAGTGTCTTCACAGCTGGGTAAAAAAATATGATAGCTACTGTAAAATAAACTGACACCAAATGGCAAATCAAGATCAGAATCTCCTGAGCAAATTCTTCAGTGCAGTTATTTTTGACAATACATGTTTTTATGAGGAATTAATCAGCTGGAAACTAAATACTCTGTTTTGTTAAAACTTCCCTGAAGTTCTGCTCTCTGTTAAGTCATGTGTCGCTTATTTTCCTCCCCTCCTTCATCCCTTTGGCTCCTCTTCTTTTAATCTCTCCCTGATATCCACTGATCAAGTATGGAACAGACTCACTATCACTCACTCATATTACATCAGGAAGAAAGGATTGAATGAAATAAGGGGAGAAAGGATTCCCTTCAGACTCCATGGCTTCAGATACCTGCACAGACAGGAGCTGATGCTCTTCATCCTTTTGTCCCTCCTTCTTCTTTTCTCCCCTTGCACTAGTAAAGGGATGATCTGAAGGACCTGTAGTAGACTCCCGTAAGGCAATTCACATGGCTGTGTCACAACCACCTCTTAAAAACACTGTCGTCTGTGCCTCCACAGAACCTATGCAACAATGAAAATCTATTTTTATTGGCATAAAGAGGGGCCTCCCATGGCTCTTTTTCCCTGTTTCCTCCTCTTCTCTTCACAAACACTTTGTCATTGCGTTAACTTATTGAGGCGGGACCTAAATAGAAAGTGCAATATATGGAATATCCTTCTGCAGACAGCTGCATGCCACTGTAACACAACAATCAGTACATTTTAATCTGAGAGGAAGGGAATCTGTGGCCTGGGTCGCACCCTGAGACTGTAGAGAGCTCCGGATACATCCTTTTTAATCAGAGGGAATGAGGTCCCTAATGGGAAAGGTTTCAAATATTTGGAGTGTTTCTAAGTCAATTGCATCACTTAATGTATCAAACCCGACAGGAATACTTTTACATTTTATCTTCATGATCGGCTATTTATTTGCTTTTTTTTTCCTCTTTTCTTTTCTTTCTTCCTTCTCTCAGTGGTCACGGGGGTGAGTGAGATCATGAAAACAGCTACAGTCTATGCATTAAACTATCCTCCTGCTTCACCCTCGCATTGCTGTCTGAGAACGTGTGTGTTCAACTCACCTTTTCACCAGTTTTGCACCTGAACTCTGCTGTCAGTGTGATGTTGTTTTTCTGACCCCAAGCAAGAATTACCAACCCACCGGCCTCAAAAACCTAGCTCTGTACCTAACTGATCTTTAAAAAACACTTCAGTGATCCCTTGCAACAGAAACACAAAAAAGCATATTATAGTTATTATTTAACAGTAAATAGTTTAACTTGGACATATCTTATTGTGTTATTAACTTATTATGTATGTGTGGTGCATCTTATGAGACTTGTACTATACCAATGTCTAGAGAATTTAGTCTGCTGAATATTTAAATTAAATGAGTATGTGTATAAGGAAATGATATTGGAAAAACGTATACAAATGTGTAATGCGGTTATATATGAGGACATTAGCAGGTTTTAAAATTAAGATAGTAACAGAGAGGTATTTTTTTGTTTCTTGTTTCTCTCTGTGTGTAGAAGAGCAGAAAGAGAGTGTGAATTTTTGATCTGCAGAAATCAGCAGGTCCTGCATATGTTTAAACTGCTGTGGATGAAATGATGACTTTACCCGGCCTACAGGATTGCTTTGTCAACCCATTAAAAACCTCAGTGTACTGAATGACGTTTCCTCTGTTTCTTCTTTTTCTCTTTATGGTCGTTTATAATATGTAAGCTATTTTAAAATTAAAAACAGTTATCAACAAATCTGTAATTTTGTCGAAATATTCACTCTTCATATAGGACTAGTCAAGTGTTCGCAGCTCTGGGGGACTGTTAAATCAGGGCAGTGCATTGAGCTAAATGCTAACATCGATATCCTAGCATGTTTACACAGACATTGCTAACATAGAATATAATCTTTTAATGGTCACACATGCAGAGCACACAGCACACACAGTGACATTTGGCCTCTGCATTTAACCCATTTTAGTACCAGGAGTCTGGTACTAAGAGCAGTGGGCAGCTATTGTACAGCGCCCGGGGAGCCATGGGAGTGAGGGGGGAAGGACGGTGTCCGTTGCCTTGCTCAAGGGCACTGGGACCGCTCCAAGTAGCAGTCCACACTCCATATTTAGGTCTGGTCGGGGACCTACGGCTCACAGTCCAAGCCCCTACTGACTGAGCCACTGCCGGACCATGACATGACATAGCATGCTAATTTAGCAGGTGGCAATAGTATGTTTACCATGTTCCCTCTTAACACGGCAACTTATTTTGCTAAAGAAGGACTACTTTTCACAAAATATAGTTATTGCTGCAGTTGATGTTATCTATGTATATTTAAACCCAAGTATTGGATACATGTTTGTTTTTTTGGTTTGCATACATAAGCTTGGTCTTTTAGAAATGAATTATCAGCAGATGAATAAATTACGAAAATATGTAGACACATTAAAGAAACCAGTTTCATTATAAGCCATGAAGGGACTGGTTGGAGTATTAATATTGTTTTCTTTAGCCACAATACAGTATCCAAAAGATGAAAAATATCAGTCCATTTTGCCACCGGAATTAAGGGTTTCAAATTCACAATAACAAATGTTTTTTAAAATGATTAGCAAGTTTTTGAGTGTAGTATTTAATTGTGATGAGTGGGTAAAAGGAAGGCCACTTTCACAGCAGCCTTCTGACTTGTCATATGAGGCAAAGCACAGGTGTTACTTAAAACATTAACTAGGTTCAGTTCAATCAAAGCTATTCCAGAGAGCCAGCCTGCACAATAAACTGGCATCCCATAGTTGAATGTTTTTGTAATTAATGCTGTGTATTACACCTGTGCTTTTCAGAATGTCTGCACTTAAAAAGGAATAGAAAAAGCCCAGGTGTAAATAATCAAATAAACGATGAAATCCATTTAGCTTATGGCCCCGTCGTTAACATTATTAGCAACACCTGTTCCTTTTTTCTCTTATGTCAAACTGCCCAAAGGTTCAGAGTATCCAAATAATGGAGAAATAGACACGCAATGTTTTGAAGTTGCTCAATCAGTTTTATTCAGGAGAAGGAGAGAAAATATTACTCAAGGGAAACAAAACAAAAAATCAGAAAGCTTCTGTCAGAAGCAGCCCTCGAACAAATCAGTTCTCTGAATGATCCTTCATTTCCATCCACTTCTATTTTACATTAAAACTGATTAGTTGAGATACTAACTTATTCCAAATAAATAGAATATTTTCTTAAGTCAATCTTTGTATTAAATCACAGCCAGTCAGTAACCGCCCACACCTCGACTCTGGACAAACTTCAGACACACTGTCCGCACTGCCTGTGAACATGGCAGAGCAGCACTTCCCCCACACACCAGGCATAATGAATATACAATATGTTACAGTTACAGTATTTACACCACCTCTTTTACAGTAAAGACAATAAATGCTTTCCCATTGCTTTTTGTTTCAATCACGCATTAAATATTTAACAGTGAATTAGAAAGTATGGAAAGTAATTTTATCCCAGTTGATTTCGTAAGCCCCGCAAAAACACTACAATTATTTTTATTGTATATTTACCTTTTGGTCAGACCAAAAACAAAATAAAAAGGAAACATATATATTGTGGCATGTTTCAAAGGAAACCAAAAAGTGACAGAATGCTAAGAAGCGAGGAATTTTTTTAATCAAGAATGATTAAGTACATTTATCCCAAAACCACCTGGTACTATCAAAGTGCTGTGGTTTAAGGAAGACGCAACAATGTTTACTTTGCCTTATGGCCTCCACATATGACTTTTTTGTTCTATAATAATAGGCAAAAAATACCACAATTTGCACTAACACTTTCTGTCCTGTTGCATTCAGTGATAAATATCAAATGTGCAATTCAATAACCGAACAAATGTGTTTTCTACCTGAAAGTAAAACACATCAGAGAGGATCTTAAAATTCAAAAACATCCAAATGAGAAGGTTAAAATACCTCCAAAAGTAGTGAGTGGGATTTTAGTAAGACTTGCAGTAAGAGCCTCATGTCCTTGCATATTCAAACCATGGAAAGACTCTAAAAAAAACAGAGGCCTTTGCCATGATTTGGTCTTTAAATGGATATTTTAAGCCGTGATAACTCTTAGTTATTAGTAGCAAAGGGAAAGAGCTTTACAGTGAAGAAGTGTCAATCAAATCAATCCATCCGCCAATCTACATTTATGAACAAGAGCATCTCTCATGTAAAGCTAGGCACTTGCAACATCTTAAATTCAGAAAAAAGCGTTTCCAATGCCCAAAAGAAAATTCACTCAAGTGTTGCATAACACGTTTTGACTAGTTTCGGAAAGAGATGTTCGTTTTCACAAATTCTGATCGGTCCCACAGCTTTGGGAATAACGTCACATGCTCCTTCTGTTCATATTTACGATACATCCTCCAAATGCAACACTGCACGCACACACACTTTCAATCATTTGCATCAGCTGGAACCCTCAGCTTTGGTGTGGCTTCATAGGATTCAACGTTTCCTCCACAGAATTTATTAAACAGGCTTTGAAGCTCTACCACTGTCCAACCAGCCACAAAGGACAGAGCCGAATGAGAAGCTTTGTACAGTTTTAGTGCAATGTTACTTATATAAACTGATAGAACTCTACAAAAAAGTACAACAGATGCAACTTCGCCTGGAGAGGAAACAGTTTGGATCTCACACACACGCATCACACACACTCACAGTCCAGTTGTAAAGGATTTGGATTCATTCATATTTGATATGTGGAACTACAAGCAAATGTAACTGGAAAACAAACTGGTTCTTATCAATAGTGTCAATGTGTTAACTTAAAGACCCCATGAAATTACGGTTCGGGATGAGCAGCTTTGATAAGGGAACAAAATAAATAAATAAAGAGTGGATATTTTTTGATGAGGCCAACAAAATGTCTGAGATTAAGGACATTTGAAGAAGAAAGATGAATTATGAGTGCAGATAAAGAGAATGTATCATACTTCCTGTATCCCTCAAGTTATTGCACCTTATCTCTATCATGCTAATGACAAAGTAAAACTGGGAAAAAACGTCAATGCGGAAAGCAGCCCAAAGCATAGCAACCACAGCTTTAGAATTGTTCTGAATTATAAATGATTATTAATTATTCCTAAACAACTTTGACTTAAAATGTGTTTTCTTTTATCATGGGGTCTTTAAATTGCATCTATCCCCTCCTTCTCTCAGTTGAACAGGATGTTTGACATCACAACACAAACATTTCACATATATTAACATTACACGCTGTACAGACAGAAGACGCTTTTCAGTGTTTGGAGGAAAAAGTAGAGAAAAGGTAACGTTCTGCGACACCTGCATCCATCTTTTCTGAACCTCATCATGTAACTAGCAAGCTTTTAACTTGACTACATAACAGCGCTAACAATTCAAAAGCTATTATATGCACTCTTAACTTGACTTTTAACTTACATCTCACTCTGCATCTCTCTTCTCCTCGTGCACCACCATCATCAGCTCTCCTCTCATCACACAAACATACGGGTAAATATCCGGGTTATTACATTCAAACGTGATGCTCTTTTTTGGCATTTGTACAATGAATTTTTGTAAAACTGATATTTGCACTATAGTGAACAGGCTCCTTATTTTGAACAGCTCTTTAGGTACTGTATCAGAAAGGAGACTCAGTATACGGCCCCTTTATTGCACTTATGTGTAAAATAGGAGACGAGGGATGGTGAATAGAAATGGTGGTTTGGAGAATAATCAGATACTGGTTATCTCTCTGGGAAGAGCATCGTAGACAAAAAAGACAACATAGTAAACAACATATAGATAATACTCTCTTTTGAACCATGCACACATTAGTGCCACCACACAGAACTGGGAGTGGGTGTTTTTAATGTAACCAGGTCAAACACATTCTGGGACCAGTGTTGCAGGGTGCCATATTTCTTCAGGAGTGTTTGTGAGTATATGATCAACAAGCTACAAACTGTGGTGTTCAATGATCCCCAGACTTCAAGACATGTCCAATATCTCATACACACACATCAACCTCTGTCTCACACACACACCTCACACCACCAGGATCTTGACTTCGTCCTGCTCGTCAGGCCGGTAGAAGAAGGGGATGCAGGGGTTCTCCCCGAGGAAGGGGGGTGATCTGAGCGCTCCCTGGGGGTTCTGGATCTCTTGGAGCAGCTGCATGATCTGCTGGGCTGTGCCGTCCTCTTTGGGCCCCAGGGACTTGGAGTCAGTCTGGGACGTCCCACTCGACTGGGCCTGTGACGAGGGGACTTCCAGGCCGGGGTTGGTCTCCGACAGAGGGAAGACCTCCATGGCTTCTGCAGCTGAGAGAAAGAGCGGCATGGTTAAATTATACGTAATGTATTCTTAATAATAGGAGCAAGTGGACAGAAAAGGACACCAGACATATCATTTACATTCAGTGCAATATATAGTTTGACTATTTATCATTGTAACTACTGTATTCTAGCTCACTTACATTATGGTGCGACTTACAATTCTAACTGTTTGTGCACGTTTTTATTTTTTATTCTGCCTCTTTTATTTAATATTTTGCCATGCTTTTTCAATGTTGGCCGTTCCTTTGCTGCTGTTACACAGTATATTTTCCCACTTGGGGACAAGTAAAATAATTCTGATAGCTAACTGCTGACCTTAGTTTGTTTAGTGAAGTCCAGTCTCAAAGCACAATTAATCTAACAGTTCCTGATTAAGGTAAATGTTGGCTGCCCTCGGTACATTTAGCTTTAAAAGGGGACATATTTAACCAACCAACCTTGGAATTAGTATACATTAATTTAAGATGTAGCAATGACATACAGCTGTGTTTCCCCTAGGTTTACTGCTTTGGGNTTGGGATATATATTTTTAAAATATTGGGAAATATATTTTTAAAATCCTCTGGAGCAGAGAGAGGAGCTGTGGATTATTGTTATTGATTAATGCATCAGTGTTTCTTAGGGTCAAAAACACTAAACTCATAACTTAAAATGAAAGTGTTTGGTTTATTTAATAAAAGAGCACATGTTCAATGTGAAAAGTGACAGTAGATAGATTAGTTGTAATTTGATGCTA